TGAGTTGTGTGTTTAGCAGATGGCCGGGTTTAAGACCTGACTGAGGGTGAGGATGAAGATAACATAAGGAATAGTTCAAGACCAACACTCCCGATGGGCTATCACGGGTGTTGGGGTACTGTGAGTACCACCTGGATTTGGGATGCAGGGTGTATGAGCCAAGTGCGCATTTCCTGGTTCCTCTGTTCAGAGCAGGAAGAGCATGTTTGGCTGGGAGCTTTGGGGATGGATGCACTGTGGACTCAGGGTGATGCAGGGTGATGCTACAGGCATCTTCAGACTCTCGGTGCTTAAAAAAAATACATCTGCAGAAAGGGAAACATAGTTCCAACCATCAGAAATGTAGTACAAAGTCAGCTAAACGGTGAGCCAAAAGTCTGCCTTTTACTTGGTCCTTGGAATTTGGAGCTGCTTAGCGGACAAATGTAGTCTTTCGGCGCCATCTTCTGGAATAGTGTAGCATTAACACCGGCTCCCTCACGCTCATCCCCCAGGTCTGAGAATGTGGCCTGGGCACAGAGAGAGGAAGGTGTGAGCTTGTCAAGGCAGGATAGCTCTAGGCAGGGATGTGGGGTGTACAGGATAGTTACAGTCTCCCTCTATACCCAGGGCACAATGTCCTCAGATGTAGCCTGCATCCACCTCATAAACTGAGCTCTTGCCTGGCAAGTCCCATCAAGTAAAGGGCTCTCTGGGTTCCCTTCCTGAGATGTGCAACTCACCCTAAGACAACAGCAAAACAGGGAAGATAGTTGCAGGAATTTTAGTCACAAGGGATTACATCTCTGAGTTTGAGACTCCTGAGTTAATTCTAGGCTCCTGAGCTGAACTTTGGCCTTTTAGTCTTGGTGTCCTTGTCCTCCCCAAACTGCCTCGGGGATCATGATTCCAGGGTCACTACTCCCTCACTTGTCCAAGGGACAGTATGTCTCCTTCACAGACTTGCAGCCTGGCCTGAGCGGCTGGACCCCAAGCCACTGTGACATCTTACGTTTATCTTGTGACAGGAAGCTGATGGGCGCAGCTTGGTCTGAGATGTCTGGTCTCCAGAGAAAGCTCTGTTGTCAGGATACTGGTCTGAGGTACTCCTTCTAGTAAGACCAGGTTGACACCGCAGACCCGTGTTTCTTTTCTTTTTTTAACTGTATATTCATGCGGTATATTTTTATCATGTTTTCCCCTCCCCCAATTCTTACCAGATCCTTCTCACTTCCTTACCCGCCCAACTTCGTTTTTTTCTCTTTCTTTAACCAAACAACATAAAAACTCAAGAAACACACACACACACACACACACACACAGAGAGAGAGAGAGAGAGAGAGAGAGAGAGAGAGAGAGAGAAACAAGCAAAGGACCAAAAAAGATGAAAAAATAAGTACAAAAATACCACTGAGTGTGTTTTGTGTTTGCCAAGTACTCCTGGTCATGTAGCCTTCCCCAGTTGTATTAACACACATGGTGAGATTCCACTGGGGGAAAGTGATTTTTCTTTGCCCACAGTTATCCCCTGCAGATACCGTCTCAGTTGGACATGGGAGCCTGTGTCCATTTCCTTCTCCCAGGGCTGGGACCTTGTCTGGCTTGAACCTGTGCGGCCTCGTTTGTTCTGCCCCAGTCTCTGTGAGTTCATACAGAAGCCCCTGGTGTTTTGAACACAATTGGTGGCCCTCTCTCTGTCTTCCCACTGCCTGCGCCAAGCCCTGTTCTAGTAGGCCCAGTCTGTAGGGAGGGGACAGCAGGCAGCGGGGAACTCTGACAGGAGAGGGTAATCTTGGGTGGGTGCTTGCTGATGGGATCCTTTTTTTGTCCACACGGCTCTCAGTTTCCTGGGAGAGAACAGGAATGAAGTATGGGGGACAGCAGGGATCACTCATGGGGAGACAGCCGGTCAGGTTCCTCACCACGGCGAAGGCCACCTTGGAGACACCTGCTCAGGCTGTGGCTACATCCTTAAAACCAACCCCCACTCTCATGGGCATTTTCCGTATACACCTTTGAGCTGGAGGTGCACTCTCAAGTGACCTGTGGAGTTTTAGCAAGCTTTTTGTTTTACCCAAGAGATTCAAGATAGAAATAGAGTTCTTTACAGTTCACCTGGGGACCCTCTTCCTCCAGTGTTGGGCAAAAGTCTCGTGGCCAGAATGCACCAGTGCTGTCATGGATGCTGCCCGCATGTCCCCAAGTGTCCAGTCTGCACGAATGTTTCAGTTCAGGTAGCTGTAGCTATGCAGGACTGAGTCTCTGGGTCTGGTCACTTCTTAGCTACCCTGTGGTACTGTTAAAATGTAGATGACTTTTCTGTGACGCCTGACATCTGCCTCCCTTCTCTCCCACCATTCCGAGACACGGCCACCTTTGAGAAGCTTCAGTTCAGGCAGATAAAGGTCACCCCCGCCCCGTCAGATTCCCTTGGGTCTGATCATCGTGGCAGCTATAATTAACTATCGCAAACCCGTGGCTTACATACAATTGGGATTTACTACTCACTTAGCTCAGGAGGGTGAAGCCAAAGGCTGAGGCAGACTAGCGTCTGGTGAGTCAGTTCTGTGGCCCTTGGTAGTGTCTCTGGCTGCGTTCTCGTATGACAGATGAGTCTCACTGATGGGGCTCTGCTCTCCTGACCTAGGCACCCCCTAGGGCCTTGTGTCATGCTGTGAGGGTAGGGATTTTAGGGGGATAGGGCACGCTGAGACCTCGTAGACTGGCTGGACATTCTGCTCCCTCTCTCCTCCCCAGGGCAGACGCAGGACTTTTCCCTCTCTGCAAGCTTAGGAGTCAGTCCGTGAGTGTTGTCACTGTCTTCTTGTACACCCCGTGCGGAACCATTACTTCTGCTTCTCTGCAGAATCCTAATCAGTAAACACGACAGACACACCCGCCTGCTTGGAATGTAGGGAACAGAATGAAGGGGTGGGGAAAAGAAAAAGGGATGGGAAGGAAGGGAAGGGGGGAAGGGGAGAAGGAGGCGGGGGAAGAGGGAGAAATGGAGAGGGAGAGGGAGAGGAAGAGGAGGGAGAGGAGGAGGGAAAGGAGGAGGATAGGGAGGGAGGGGGATTTCGATAGATACCTTATGAGTTCTCTTCTGCCATCCAGACTTGTACGTCCGATTGTGATGCAGAGACGAAGGGATGGAGCAACAGCACCGAGACCTCAGCTGTGTGTGAACATGAGCTCCTGTTGACTGTGACGGTGTCTTGTGCAATGTGCTCGTAGAGGGACACCACGCTGTCACTGCTAGGGGTGTGAGGGGCATTCCTGGCTTCACGGAGCCCAAGCAGGAGTCCAGGATGAGAGATGATGCAAAGCAAGGAGGGCGGTCCTGAGCCACACATCCCAGGAAGAATCTTCTGTCCCCAGGGAGAAGGGCAAAGTCCCCAAGATGCACTTGCAGGCAGCATCTTTGCATGGACTCCTGGTTCCTCCTCTTAAAGGCTACTAGGCTTCAGGAAAGCCCTCACAGATGCTCCGAGCAGAGGGTCGTTTTCTCCCCCATTGTGAGGGAGGACACCGTGCTCATTGGTGGTGCCTCAGACACATAGGTAGACTAAAGACCAAGATAGGTGGACAGATGTCCCTAGGTTCTGCTATGGCATCCCCTAGCTTCCAGGCTGAGGGGCAAGTGTTGAGAAAGAATGTTCGATAAACCAAAGCCACATCTGCACTCTGGAGTCTCTAGCTGTACCACTTTGATAAAAGTGACAACCTCTGACTGCTCAGGGCAGGACCCCACGGGCTGTGAGAGAACCCTGGGTACAGGCAGAAGGCCTGGTCAGTAAGGCCCAACCCAGCCTGCTGTGCTCCAGCTCTACCTGTCACGGTCTTGCTGCAGCACAAGTCTTTGGCAATAGGAGGCAGTCATGGGTGTCTGAGTTCACACCTTGTCACCAGCAACCTCTGTTCCATTTTGCCCTTATTCCTCCCATAGGAGACGTTTGGTTCATGGTAGACAACAGCTGCTGGGAACAGGAGAGGACTGGAAGGGTGGGAGAGGCTCAGGTCCCGTCCAGGTACACAGCCCAAGCTGGGGCAGCCAAGAGCAGTGCAAGACAGGGAAGCTGGGGCAGAGTTCAGAAACAGAAGCCCCTTGAGTGAGTGCTTTGGAGGTTGAAGTTATATAACAAGGAGAAAAGGCCCACATAGGCCCCTTCACACAACGTATTCCAGCACAGCTTTTGTTTTGGAAACATGGAGGATGGTGCAACCATCATTCTCCACAGATGCAGTCAGTACCAGTTACAAGACAAGGCGGGTGTGGCATATTCCCACCCGTATTTGCATTAGAGAAATTCAACTACAGTGCCTGGGTATAACGTACCCATCAGGGAAATGGGGAGTGTGGAAGGCCACCACTTAATTATCAAGATTTGGGGCAACTGGATAGCCTGTGTGTGGCCTCCCTGGGGAGTCTCCAGAGGGTCCTCATGCTGGTGTCCCTGGTCCCTGCGGGATCTCATAGACATGCTGTATGTGCTGGGTAGCTGAACATGGTAACACTCAACCCTATTGAGGCCTGGTTCTAAGGACACATGGGGGAAGTTTGCCCGATCCAATAAAGTTCAGAGGCTCTCTTGACTGTGGGGAGTACATGGCATATCTAGAAAGAGAAGTCTTTCTTTCCCAAAACGGCTTTATTTCCTCCTAGGACACATTCAAATTTCAAGGATCTATCAAATGGAAACTAGGAACATTTAATCCAGATGAAAAATTCAAGAACTTCGCTTTGCAAAAACTTAGGGAAAGAGACCTCAGGAGAGTATTTAACGATTGGGAGGGGCAATTTCATAGAGACCTTCCTGGAAGATCCCACTGGTCCCAGCCTTTGCAGATACACGAAGACAGACTTGTAGGAAGCGGGTCAGGGAGCTTTGACCGGTACCCGCAGCCTCGTCTCACCCCAGACAGTGAACATCTTCCTAGACGTGGAAAGAGCTGATCAGCAGCAAACAAGAGCTTTCTCACTATGACCTGGTAAAAGTGTTCAATTAATACACAAAGGCCTCTTAAACTTAGAACTTTGGTTCTTTAGAAGATGGGCGACAAGGGCAGGTGTGACAAAAGGATTCTACAGATTGTCGGATGTGGGGAGGGAGGAGAGGTAGTATTCTGGAGTGAGACCTGGTGGACATGGTTGGGCATGGGGACTGTGAGTAGTTGAGAGTATAGCACTCCTGATTTGGTGAACACACATTTGAGTACAGAGTCTGTGTGACAGGGAGACATTCTGGGATGACTGGGACACAGATCTTCTGGCCGCAGGGTGCCTGTGGGACGTTGAAACATTCTCTGCTGGGTTGAAGGACAAATCTTGAGGTGTATGGCTGTTGTGTGAGGTGAAGGCAGCTGGGACTCATGGCAGTTGGATTGGTGCAATTTCCCTAGAGGGAGGAGAAAGCCAGAAGGTCACAGACTTGTGGTTGGAAGGCTGAAGCTGCCTGACTTAAGATGGTAGAATCAGGACACATCAGGACTCAACTGGCTACGCTGGCCTTGTTGATGCTTCTTTGAATGAAATCAAATCATAATCAACATGGAGTCTCTTGTGTCAAGTCCTAATGTAAACTGAAATTAAAATAGGGAAAGCTGAGTATTTATGAAGGAGAGAATTTCGTTCATAAAGAAAACTACCACAAAACACTGCTAGGACCATGTTGCCCAAAGATCACCACAAAGTTTTCACATCAATGGCTGTACACTCACACACACACACACACACACACACACACACACACACACACACACACCATACACACACACACACCATACACACACACACACACACACCATACACACACACACCATACACACACACACACACACCATACACACACACACACACACCATACACACACACACACACACACCATACACACACACACACACACCATACACACACATCATACACACACACACCATACACACACACACACACCATACACACACACACACACACCATACACACACACACACACACACCATACACACACACACACCATACACACACACACACACCATACACACACACACACACACCATACACACACACACACACACACCATACACACACACACACAAACACACGCGCACGCACGCACGCACGCACGCACACACACGCACACACAGCAACTCTGTAGAAACCTGTAGCCCAGACACCTAAAGACACATTGTTTGCCTTTCAAATCCCTTACACAAAAATCTGCCTACAAGGTCATCTACCCACTAATGATGGGCTCCAAAGGTGTGGACTAGTGTTGTTGCTATCTCTGTTCTGGCCCCTGTAATTTATGATTCCTTGTGGCCAAAGGTTATTGTCTCAAAGTAACTTGTGTGAACCTTCTAATTTTTCCTTTAAAAAAATCCCTTTATTCTTGTAACATGTACATAGCCTGTTCTGGAATGTGGGGCTCCTCTTTGCAATGCTCCAGTACTTACAAATCATCATTTTCAGAAAATTTCTATGATTGGTGATTAGGTTGGTATCAGAAACATTCTTTTCTCCTTGGCTGTTTGAAATACGTTGCATTAAAGAACAGGGCATCTGCCTCAGGACCATTATTGGCTTTCTACAAACCATTTCTATTTCTGGTTTCTGTGACCTTAAAGCAGGTCTGCAAGAACCCCAAAGGGTCTCACAATGTTTCTGGTGAATTCCGTCTTGGCTTTACAGGTCCAAATGTTTCTGTTGATCACTCTGACGCCGTGACACCTGGCACAGAGCTTGGATACAGAAGGAACAGTTCACAACCTGGCTGTACCACTCAATAACCTTGCCATGCAAAGCCCCAAACTAAATGCCAGCGCCTCAGTTTCCACAGCTGTGAAGACAGCAGGACAGAGAAGGAGGCACACACAATACAAAGGTCTGGTGCCCAGCTGGAGGGTGCTGGTCTGCTGGTCTGGCTGACTCCTGACTATGACTGCCAAAAGGTTTTTTTTTTTAACTTTGCAGGGTCTCCAGTTTCCTTCCAACAATAGAGTTAGTGGTTTGGTTAATGATTAGCTTATGAGGAGTCCTTAGACCATGTCTATCTAAATGGAAGTTACAGTTTCTCCGAGGCAGTTGTGAAAATGAAATGAGGTCCAGGCTCCAAGCAGCTCCTGTGGGGGTGCGCACAGGAAGGTGAGTGGGGTTGGGGACATCCCGTGACTACTGTAGACACTCTGTTCAGGAGGAAGGGGGAGATTTCCATCATCTTAACAGGCACAGAGATACAGCGCAGACTGAAGAGAACCCAGACCACAGAGGGTTGGGCACAAGATTCACAAACTGGACTGGATTTTGTTTGTATTTATGAAGGAGATGATGCCAACTGGACAATTTTCATCGGGAAGCCAAAGGCTATGGGGCAGACATTCATTTTGTGAAAGACCAAAACAAAACCACTTTTACGTCCGCTGCAAAAATGCCCAGGTTTTCAGTAAACCGAACCGTCTAAAGAATTTTCTGGGTTATGATTAGTTGAGGTGCAAAAGCATTTGAGGTCACTGGAACAAACGAGCAGCTAGATGAGGCTCTAGGAAGCAGTGCCTCCCAAGTCCAAGTTCAGGCCCCTCACACTGGTGTAATAACTTCTGAGACCTGTGTGCGTCCTCGTGCCTGCAGCCACTCCTACCCAGGATCAGGAACTTAGGGACAGCCTTCAAGTGGATGGAGCTCCGCCGGGATCCTGTCCCTATGCTTTTGTCCCTACCAAGAAGAGGGCCTGGAAGAGGCTTTGCCTGAAGGGGTGGCATGGAACACTCAAGTGGCCTGCAGAGGGAGAGGGTGAGGGCAAGGTGTTCGACTGCTGCCTCCATTTCCCTGTTGCTAGACTGGGCTAACTCCCCCAGGGTGTTCTTATGTGGGTTCGGCTCTTCTTTGCTCAGGCAGAAGACCAGCCTGGTGGAGCATCCCAGAGTGCCTTCATGCAGGAACCTGCCTGAACTTGTCAAGTGAGCTGGGCTAGTGTTTGGTTCTACATATATAAACCTAGTGCTTCAGACAGTCCTGCAGGAGGATTTAGGTTCCAGCTGAAGCCCCGCCCAATTCCTGCCCTAAACAGTTCCTGGCTGACAACTTTATTTGTCCCTGCACAGAGCATAGCAGTGGACATCTTACTTTGTGCCTTGGAGGGAGCGACAGGTACCAGCTGACACTCACTTAACTTTGTATCCTGCAGGGGACTTCAGGACCCAGTTGACACTCACAGCAAACCCGGAAGGGAGCAGTCTCAGCTAAAAGCCACCCTTTTTCAGTGCACGGCTCCCATGGAACCGTGGAACCAGAGCACGGCAAGTTTAGAATGTAGAAGCAGCGGTCATCCTGTGCTTTCGAGTTTCCCTGTCTTGCTTACCTGGACCTTGGGATGACAACACATCAAGGGCACCTGGTGGCAGCTTGGGTGAAAGTAGCTGCAGCATGTGTCCAGGGTTCCCTGCAAAGCACGTTACCATGAACAAACAGGATGGCATAAGAACTGACCCCCAAGGACACTGGGGCCCACGTTACCCAGAACTCTGTCAACATGGACACGAGAAGTCAAAACCCATCCTCTCCTAAGAGGGACCAGTCTAAAGACTTGGGTGTCTGGAGTGGTCACTGTGGGACACACAAAGGCTCTTTGGAGGGCTTGAGGGGGCGTGTGGTGTCAAGCAGAGGCCTCTAGGGGAGCTGTGAGTTTTGTGAAGGCTCTGGATAGAAGGCCTGGGAGGAGGGGAAAGCCAGAGCTTGGGTCACACAGGTCAGGCAGGCAAGAGGCCTATATCTCAATCATGGGCCCGGGTTAAGGAAGGTGGGGAGGCCGGAAGAACCCTGGACCTAACTGTAGTGGCTCTCATGGTCTCAGCCCTGCAGCTCAGAGCCCTTGGACCTACGGAATGGATGGGGGCCGAGCACAGAGATAAGGCCACTGGCAGTGACCCTTTTCCTCTCAGGAGGCCCGTGTAGGTTTCTTTGTAGCTCGCCGGCAGGGAATGGGCAGGGATGGCTCTCAGCTGTCTTTGGCAGTTGCAGAAGACTTAGAAGCTCCCAGGAGGAAGCAATGGACCCACCACAGACAGGGGAGGGCTGGGCAGGGCAGAAGACTACAAAGCCATGAGGGATCTGGGGGCTCTTTCTTCCTTTCTATAGGGTCTCCGTCTTGGGGCCTGGGGTTGCCATCTGTCTTTTCCCTTTGTTGGGGTGGCCTGGGTCTCCTGTATGGAGGAGCTTCAGATGAATGGCTGTTTGCCTCCTGGGGCTCAGTGTCACACAAGAAGCTTGTGATGTCCTTCAAGACCTCCATCTTATAACTCTTTGCCCACTTCAGTGTGCGTCAGGACCGCCAGGTCAGCCCTTCTACTTGTATGTGAAGAGCCTTAGTACTGGCTGAGCAGGGCCACTGGCATTTATTTGACCAGTTTTCATGGTGAACAGAAAGTAACTCACCACTGGTCTCTTTCTGTTTTTACTGTATCTGAGCTTGCAAGATACACCCGAAACATCTCGACTCATTCATCCACAGACTAAGGGTGACAGCAAAGACATTGCTAGGGCTGAGACAATGACGTGGGAACTAGAGACTGACAAGACAGGGCGCAGTGGCCATGCCCAGGGAACCGGAAACTGCAACAAGAGGGATGTGAGCACTTGGAGAGCCTCCTGTGTGCCGTTCCCCTCCAGCCATGGGAGTGAGGCAGGGATCCAGGCGTCCTCAGACTTGGGAGTGATGCATGTCCTGTATCCTCCCCCCCCCCGACATGCACTCAGGCCTCTTTAGTGATGATTGGCTGTGCCTCCCCAAGCCCAGCCTAGGGTCCCAGCCTGCCCAACCCCAGTCGTCCTTACCCTTCTGTTTCCACAGCCACAGCAGGCCACGATCACGGTAGGGTTTGGGTTGACAGGTGATGGAGGAGGTGGAGGAGGAGGGGCGGGAGGACCCGGTGGTGACGTAGAAGGAGGGGGCAGGATCTCTTCTTGTGGTTCCTGGGAGTGAACAGAGTTGGTCTGTGTCTTGCCTGCAGCTTCTTGGGCACACTTCCCTTACACACACCTGGCACTGGGGGTCAGGTAATCTTGTGGGGTAAATGGAAGACTGTAACCCACACCCCGGGGAGGTCATCCATGGGAAGAGTAACCAAAGCCCCTCTGGTTTGCAGGTACTGAGCGTCCCAAAATGCCAACAGTCCACTTCTGTGCGCTTGGTTCTCCGGAGGTCTCTCTTGCTAGCAGAAGCCTAACTTGGAGGCTGTGCAGTGGTAGGTGGCATTCTCCTACACCAGGCCCTGGACTTTACAGAGGCAGGCTCCCAGGACTTCCACGGGTTAGCACTGTCCCATGTGGACAGGAAAGCTGTTCCCACCCCAGCACAGGCCCAGGGTCTGCCGGCTCCAGCCTTTCATCATCTTTCCTAGTCTCTACCCCAAAGAAGGTGCAACTGTTTCCCCATCCTGGTCCCTGTGCTCAGCTGGGGGCATCCTTCATAGCTGATAGCCAGTTATGATATCCTCTCTCTTCCCCAGCCCTGGGTTTCCTAGACGGACCACAGTGAAGCCCTTGGTCCTTCCAGCAGGTGATGCAGACAGGTGCAAAGAAGCCCAAAGGCTCCCAGCCTGCCTATGGAGACCTGGATTTGACTCGCACAGCTCCTATACTAAGAACCCGTTTGTGCCCTTGGCATTCTACAGAGAGTACTGTGGGATCCGCTGGAAAACACCAACTCAGCACTGGACAGCTGCACGCACTGGAGCGCGTCACCAAAGCTCCGATGATTAGGAGATGCTGGGAGTCTGGTAGTGGCGTTGTCTAAGTGTCATTAATCTGATTCCCATGTCTTTCTGGTATAAGCACTGGCCTGCATTCCCCCCTATTCACTGACAAAGCAGTGAGGGATTCTGAGCTCAGGCTTCACGACGTCCCTTAAGGTCAGTGTGACAGTGCCACCCTCTTCCCCCACCCAACTCACCTTCTCTGGCTGTGGCGGAGTTGGTGGCGGTGGCAGCTCCTTAGGCTGGAATGCAAAACAGACAAAAGTGGGCTGGAGTGTGTAGGGGAGTGGGTACGGTGGCCTCTGCCTCGGCCCTGCCGATAGAGGAGACCTTGGCTTGGAGCAGAAAGACAACGTGGCCTGTGTGGTTGCCTGTGTGGGTGTCTGGTAGGCTCTACCTGGCCCAAAGCAGCCTCATCCCTCTCTAATAAGGGAGAGTCCATCTGATCCAAGGTTCTGGTCTCCGGAGAGGCCCACAGCTGGAATGCTGCACATCTGTCCCAGCCCAGGTGCAGTGGAACCCACACTCACGCTTCCCTTTGGAAGAAGCTCACTGTCATTCAGCCTCCTCATCCCTCTAGTTTAGTCCCAGATTTCCCTGCTCACTGCACCTCCAGGAAGAGACGGGCCCTGAGAGTTCCGTGCTGCCTGCTGCCCCTCAGGCCCCTCTGTCCTCCTCCTCCAGCTCTCTGGAGGGCTCCTTCCATCCCTTCTCCCACCCTGACCCAGATGCCAGCGCCATCCTTGGATCCTGATCTGCATTAGCCAAGCCTTGGTGTCGTCTCTGGATGGGTGCGTCTCACTCTGAAGCCTGAACGGTGACTGCAGTCCCTGGTGGAGCAGGGTGGCCCTGCTTCGCTGTGCCTCTGAAGCCCAGCATGGGGCTGCGTGATATACTGGGGTCAGGAAAGGAGTTGGTGTCAAGGGTATCTCTGCCCTAGTGGTTCCTAATCATGCCCGAAAGACGTCGCCCTGCATATGGGGCCACCGGACTGCATGAGGGATCCTGTCCTGCAATACAGGGGCACCTCTGAGGTTTCACCACTTGAGGCCTATAGATGTGTAGTTGATACAAGATGGCCCCAGGCTAAGGGTGCTGGGATGGCTTCTCTCCAGGGCCAACCTTAGCTTTCAGGCTAAGCATCTCAGACTGAATTCCTGTGTCAGCTAGCCTGGAGAATTCTCAGAACCCGGCCTGGTCTAGGGGTTGGGTATTTAAACTTAAGAGTCTGTGTCTCTTCCGGATGATGCGAGGACCTTGGAACAGATGGGAAATTGACAGCAGGCTGGATTATAGTACTGCCTAATGACCCTGTTCCTAGGAGAGAGGGCTTGTGTGTGGGAGCCAGGGTGGGGTGGGGGGATGCAGGAGACCTAACCTTCTTGCAGCAGAACCTCCAACAGCAGTATAGCAACAGGATGGCCATCAGCAAGACTGGCAGAAAGATAAGCAATTTCCAGTTGAAGACAGTGGGGCCTCCTGATGGCTTATTGGGTGTAGTGATGACGTCATGCTGTGCTGTGTTGACTGGGACTGGGTCTGGACCTGGGTCTTCTACCTGTGGCTGGCTGGCTATAGCGCTGGCGCCGCTACTTCTGCCTCCATCACCTCCTCCGCTGCCTCCGCTACTTCTGCCGCCATCACCACCACCACCGCCTCCACCGCCGCCGCCGCCACCATCACCTCCTCCGCTGCCGCCACCGCGGCTGCTGCCACCATCGCCACCTCTGCTGCCGCCGCCACCATCGCCACCTCCGCTGCCACCTCCACTGCCGCCG